GGTAGGTAGGAAGTAATAAGAACTAAGAGAAAAAAATGAAAAGAATAAGAAAAAGAAAAGGTTTACGTCACAAATAGTTGATTATTATCGCAATGTGGTTCGTATCATCATCGTAAATTGAAAACGTGTTATAGTTAGGTGTCATAATTTATATATTGCAATGACTGACGATTAATCGTATTCAAATAAATTCATCTAAAGAAAACAAATGTTTCTTCAATTATTTTCATTTTATATCTATATCTATCTATATATATGTATATCACATTCTACGAAATGTTCTCATTCGGACAAATAAAAAGGCACATACAATTATCGATTATTATTATTATTATTATTATTATAATTTAATGTTATGCAGAAAAATAATATGACAATTTGTTCGAATGAAAAATCTAATCGAATTTCTAAATTATTTTCATATAATTCAGAAAAAAAAAAAAAGATAATAGTTTCATACATTGTATTGCTGGACTAATCAAATTCAAATAAATTCATCTGAATAAATAAAAAAATCGTTATTCCAATCGTATTAAATTCAATATTGCATTTTCAATACGCGTTTAAAATCACACTATTATTAATACAAATATAATATGCAATAATTCTCAATAGAAAATCTAATCGAAATTCTACGATTCTTCGTTTTAATTCTTTCTTTTCTTACGTTTAAATGTATACTATTATTAAAACAAATATAATATCCAATAATTCTCAATAGAAAATCTAATCGAATTTCTAAGATTCTTTGACAATCATAAATCACGTTATTCATTTTATATACTATCTATCTTAAATAAAATAGAAAAGGGAGGGGGGGAGGAAAATACTATAATTTTTCCATTAGATCATTCATATAAAATAATAATCGATATCGTAGCAATCGATAAAAAAACGCATTACCTTCGTCTATTATCCTCCCCACTACGACACCCTGTCACATTTTTATTCCATCGATTCCATCGAGAACGATTGCGTAATCATTTTGCAAAAATTCGATTAATGAATTTTTTTAAATAATAGATCATTTAAATAATCACAAAAAAGAAAAATAGGAATAATAATTGGACTTACCGATGATCGGCTTGTTACGCTTACCACTTGAAAATGATCTTTTCACTTAAGAAACAACTGTAATATAGACCCCTTGATAATTTTTTTTTCTTATATAATCGACCGAGAAACGTACGATTCTTTATCTTTCGTTGTTGTGTATTCGTCTACTTGACTCTCTCTCTCTCTTTCTCTTTCTCTCTGTCTCTTCGAATGATTATTATATTCCATTTAGATTCACAAATTTTCCTTTGAAAAATTTCATTTTTCGATAACGAATAAGAGAATCGTTTTATTTTCCTATGAAAACATTTCTATCTCGAATTATTCATATTAATTCTTAAGATATTTTTTTTTTACTATATATATGTATATATATATATAATATACGTAATATAATATACGTAAATATTAATCTACTGAACCTTTCATTCAAACAATGTTTGTAAGTTATTAAAAAAAATAAAATAAAATAAAATAAAATAATGAACAAAACATCGGTAAATTTAGCGTTTATTTAAGAATTATTAAAATAGTTTATTCACTTGTGAAATAAT